CACAGCTGTGGTGACAACCAGCATTCAAGATAAAAGTATCTTTGGTAATAAAAATTCTCATACTTAATGTGAAGATGCATTTGGAATGAAGTAAAATGTAATGAATTGTTCCATTATTGTTTTTCTTTAAATTTCCTAGAAGAAAACCAGTAAAAAATATCAATGTGAGGTAAATTGATTCCCTCTTACAAATGTGAGCTCTTTACGTAATGCGTTTACAGTAAAGCATCATTAGTGATCCAGTCTACCATATCATATATTCAGATCTAGATCGGCCAAGTTAGCTATTGCATGTAGCTTATCATTTTTTAAACTCTTACCATTAGTAATATCTTGGGGAAAGATGGCAATAAATATGGAAATATGCATAAATGACAATAATGCACATTAACTACATTCATGGAATATCAAACATATCCCTTTTACACGTTACAGATCTATATTTGAGGCAGCTGGTATGAAATGCACTTTAACTATCATTAGGGCTGACCTGATGAAAAAAAGAAAAAAGAAAGAAAGAAAGAAAAAAGTAAAAATAAAATAATTTGTATCATCTTTACTACAAGTTTTTCTGTGTTGAAATGAATGCATCAACACACATACACTATATACTTACAAATGTGTGTGTACGTGTGTGTGGGTGTGTGGGTGTGTGACTAATGAAGATGATGACTGTGGTAATAATAATAAGGTAGTCCATTCCCCATTCCATAACTAAACTTGAAACAACTTAACAATACAGATTCTCTATGTGCAATATCAGCCATTCTTAACTAACTTGCTGAGATTACTTTTAAAACAAATCTAACAGATAAAATTAGAAGTTATAACTTATTCATAATTCAAGAAGTTAAATATCCAATCCGGCTTTCTAATTACATCAATATTACAGTATAAAAAATCCTATCCACATTAACAAATACATCAGTAACTAAACAAAATCTCAAAGAACAATTTACAAAGAAATATGGTCTAACTACAAAGATACTGAACTACAAATCTACATGCACACAAACACGCTCAAACATACATGCACACACACACTCACATATGCATACATGCCGACACACACATACATACAGAGTATTAGACACAAAGAAAAGAATGGAAGTTAACCCTCTTCAACTGCTAATGGCTCCAAAAGACCTTGCTTGAATTTTGCATTTGAAGATGCACAGAATGATTTTCTAAATGAGTACACTGGGTGTTCCAAATGACAATAAGGTATTTGATGCCTTACATTATGTATCCTCATTTTCAAATGAACAGGAAAACAACAAAGAACAAATACTGTCAAACCCAAACTGGTGACACACAATGTTTGCTAGAATATACTTAATTCTAATCACCAGTCCCCCACTAGCATGTGAAGCATGTAGGTGATTTCATGTGTAAAAACAGTCAAACGTAAACATTAACTGAAGGAGGGTCAATAACATCCATATGTAAGTAAATACACATATTTATACAACACTTCTTTCAAGAAATATATAACAAACACAAGTATGATTTGGACAAACAAAAAGCTCATTACTTCATATCAATTTAACTGTAGATCTGATTCTCATAATTTTAAGATTTAAAATATAACTAACATCTATGGATTTTTCAGAAAAGGGAATAGAAAGTCATTTACAACCTGGAGCTTAGGAATGTTCATGTTTTACGATGCACATATAACAAAAGATTCACCAAAATAAAAATATAAAGTAAATTTTTTGAGTGCAGATTGGTACTGGTCAGTATGAAAAAATAAGTATATATAATCAATTCTTAAACAGTATGTACAGAATGCATCTGCTGATAGCATTTAACTTACCAGGTTTTGATTCTACACATTTTTAACTTTTTAATGAAAATTCTAGATCATTACATTTGTTTTCCTTAAAATCGGGCAAAAGGTAAAATTCATACTATGTCCTATCTTGTATAGTCAACATGCAAGTCAGAATCATGAAAGGTGCTGGGTTCAAATATGAGCCAATCCTACCTCATTTTCAGCAATAATGACTATGTTCCCTGATTAGACCTGGCATACCTGCATGGCTGTACTAGAAGATATAACAACCTTGCAAAAAAGGACATTCCTATACAGCTTCTGTTAACTATGATAAATGAATGAAAATAGATATCATTTTCACATCACTGAGCCAAAGCTTTACAAAACTAGAGAAAATTTTCATAACCATGAATCATTACTATAGAAATTACATAACTACCCTCCCTGATGAGAATTCAAACAAGCTGAATTTGGATATTGCCCAGAAAGACCAGAACAATATTAAACCAGCTTAACCACAGTCGGGTGCCTTCTAAGGGAAGATAGTTATATGTCTATGTCAGTATGGCATTGCATTACTCCATATTATTATATATGTTTCAAAAGGAAAACCACAACAAAAAGCAAGGACTTGCTGTACATAACAATAACAGGCTCTGCATATGTGAGAGACTTTGACAATGAAAGCAATAATTTAAGGTCCTGTTGGTAGCCTATAGACCAGGGGTGGCCAACCAGTCGATCAGATCGACTGGTTGATCACAAGCCTCTTTTAAGTCGATCATGCTACTGTACCTGTTAATAATTCGTCCTTCAGAAGTTGTCATGCAAATAGCTGCAATAGCATATCCAAGTACCCATGATACATGGATTATTATATTTCTCATTTTTCTGGGAATAAGTTATATTTATATTTATAATGATGAATATGTCTGAACAACATACAATTATTTATAAGTTAGGCTGGTAGATCACATCAGGGTAACTGTATATAAAGTAGATTATATCTCTCAAAAGGTTGGCCACCCCTGCTATAGACAAATTAAAGTTAGTACAGTATTTTCTTATTGGGTTTGTTAGTGTCTACCAAAGCATGGCTGGAATGCCTACCTTCATTGTTTGTTAATATGACAAACTCTAAGGTGAATTTTTTTTGGGGGGTAATGTAAACATTTAGTGCCATTGGCAGAATCTATAGGTCAAGTAATTTCAATTTGTGTATATATATAGAAGCCAGTTCATATATAACTATAAGCAGAAAATTACACACGCACATATATGTGTGTGTTAATTTCCATACAAGTGTGTCTGTGTTCATTTGTCTTTGGACCTGTGTTTGTATGCTTTTCTTTCTGTACTTCCTTTGTAAGAATTTTTCTAATGAATGTGTCCATTTGAGAAAGAGAGGGAGGGAGGAAGAGGCAACCACAATATCTGACCATTTATCATGCAATAAATAAAAACCTGCGTCCTTTTCCATTATCTCACATTTATCCCTGACAAACAGACACCTCAAACTGTAAAAGTTGGACTACAAACCAGATGTAAGCAACACAGTAGACCTGCATTTGTAACGTTAATATATCGGCTTATTTTCAT